CTCTCTCTCTCTCTCTCTCTCTCTCTCTCTCTCCATGCCAAGAATGAAATGCAGGGCTTTCAACACAATGAGCAAATGCCTTACCACTGAGCTACACTCCTAGTCCTTTAATAACATATGAGAAGTGGTAGAACTATATGGTGAATGTTTACATTTTTAAAGTCACAGTAGAAGACACATTACCACGAATTCCTCTGAGTTCTCCCTTTCACTTTGCCTCATGCCTGCCACTTTCTGAAGCAGCTCTGGAAGTGCTCTTTCGTGAGTGTCTTTAGTTGCACTGTTGTGGCTGCCTTGATGTCCTGAATTGATTCGAAACATTTACCTTTCATGGTCATTTTGACTTTGGGGAAGAGCCAGAAGTTGCACAGTGGCAGATCCTCTGACGAGGGTGGATGAGGACACACTGTTGTGTGTTCCTGGGTGGCATTTGGCAGGAGCATTCACTGTATTTTTGATCATACCTCCTAAAGACACTCATATTTACAAGGCGGAACACAAAATGACTTTATATTCTCTGACTTACCGAAACTGTCTCTGTGGCAGAGGGTCATGGCTTTGCTCACAGCAGTGAGGAGGAAATTCCATTTCAGCTGGAAGCTGGCAGCCAGTTTCATAAACTCTTCCTTGCTTTTGCTCGGCTGTTACATTTTTTGGTAAGAAAAACAAATGCTGGTTTTAATGATGAAATCTAGAAGAAGAGCATGTTCTCAAACACACACATTTGTCATGTACCGGCATTCTTCACAGACCAAAGAAGGAGGAGCTACAGTGACAGGCAGAAGGGCCGAGGCGGCAGACTGACAGGAGCACCGCTTCAAGCCCTGGCCCTCCCCTGGGACGGGCCCTTTGAAGTAGGCAGAGGGGAGCTGGCAGGTAGAAAACTGGCCTCATTCCCTTGAGTCCTCACACACCTTTTAAAAGAGTTCATTTATGGAAGGCATTAAATAAAACTTATGGGAAGCCACTGATTTGGATTGAGCTCCTACTCTGGTTCCTAACAGACCAAAACAATATGGAGTCACTCTTGCTAAAGTTCTGTGTCACCAGACCGAAGCTGAGGTGTTTATCTGACCTTTCCAGAATTCATCAGACAGAGACACCAGCCAAGTCCTCTAACAGACCAGTTCTCCCTCACAAGTCACCTCTGCTTTCATCCTTAAAAAAAAGTAACTTTGAAACAATCCGCTTCCATCTACTTCCTTATTCCAGGTCTCTTCTGTCTACCAACACCGGCCTCTGCATGGCGGTGCCCTCTGGACCTTCTTATTCGGAGAGTTGCACTGTTCTAGAACCGTTTTCTGCCCAGATAAACTCTGTTAAATCCACTTTGTCTAGGAGTTTTCTATTATTAAGTACCACGAGGAAATTAGCAATCATGCTGAAGTCCACAGGATGTCACCGTGGACAGGTGAGACGGAACACTTAGGTGAGACTCCGAAGGAACCCCCTGGGGAAAAACAAGCAGACAATTGCAACTTGTGGCAGTGGCAGGGGAGGGGTCCACCGGGCTACTGATGAAGTGAGCAAGGTAAGAAGGTAGGATGCACGGGCAAAGATGGCCATGGATGGGCCTGAGCGTCACTACGCGCTCACTGCAACGCATTTCTGTGCTGAGAGCTCCGCCCAGAGAAGGGATGGAGCACGTTTCTACGTACATTTTGGGCTGCATGCAAACGCATACTTGTGCGGTAACTAAAATCCTGTTCCTTTGGAAAAAACCTGCTCCTCCTTTCGCACGGGCCAAGAACAGTGAGAAACGTGCGACCAGCCTGGCCGCCCTCTCCCTCTGTAGCACACGGCCGCATGCTAGCAATTGAAGCCATTAGTCGCCTCCAACGCCCCAAGCCTAGTGTGGAACAGTGTGAGTGTTTCATTGATAACAGTCTTTCCTTTCTCTCTCTTTCTTTCTTTCTTTCTTTCTTTCTTTCTTTCTTTCCTTCTTTCTTTCTTTCAATTGGCTAAGCTACTTTGCAAAACAAGCCTTTCAAAGGCACACACTTATAAAAATATCATTTTTCTAACACGCCTCACGGATGCAGGCTGCAGATTTGGTGGTGGAGACCTGGGCAGTACCATGCCACGCGGCTCACAAAGCAGGACGGGGCTGTCGGCTGCTTGGAGGCAGGATTGGCACAGTGGCCTCCAGGGGTTCATTCTGTCTAAAGTGGGGTGCTGAGCGGGTACAAAACAGGGACAAACCATGATACCAGCTCGTACCAGTACGCGGAAGTCCTTTAGCTATCGAGTGGGTAAGTGTCTCATCAGCGGTGCAGTTTCAGATGTGTCACTGCGGGTCAAGCTCAGCCCAGGACCAGTGAGGAGGAACAAACACCATCCACAATCTGGGGTGGTTATTTTTCAAGAATTAAAGACTGGAAGCAGATACCCCCACTCCTTCCTTTGAGTTTCTGGTTCTGAAGAGCCCCAATCCTTTTAGTCTTCACTAAATTTGGTCCATCTAGTCTTCACTAGATTCGGTCCATATTTTGTCTTTGTTCTTGATAAGGAGGTCAGGGATATGGACCAGGCCATGCTGGGAGGGACAGGGAGGTGGCTACAATGTGGCCAGAAGCTGAAGAACACCCGGAGCCACGTGCTGGTCCCCGGGCCCTGGGTCTGGGCTCTGCGCCCTGGAGTCGCCCTCCTTGTTCTCTGCACAAGCCCATCTCCCCCGTGCTCACCGCGGTCTGCGAGGGCTCTGCTGAGCGTCTGTGCCCCTTCTCTGCTCGTTTCTGTCCCAGGCACCCCTCACACCCCAGGCCCAGCCACACCCCTCTGCAAGGCCTTAGAGAGCGAGCATGCCGTCCAGGTGGGGCGTGCACTGCCTTGTTTCGGTTTCGTCCTAGTTTGAGTCCTTCTCCCAAGCTCCCCCACCCACAGGGCCTGTTCTGGGCTCTTCAGGGTTAACCCAGTGCATGGGATGAAAACCGGCCCTGGACCCTATGGAGGGGACCCTCAAGGAGCAGCTGCCTACAAAGCCAGAGCCGCTCTCAGCTGCGACCAAGTCACCTTTGGGGGTTCTTTTGGGTTTGTGTTGGCGGTGCTGGGGATGGAGCCTGGGACTTGCACATGCGAGGCAATTGCTCTGCCATCGATTCACACCCATAGCGCATCTCCAGGTTTTTGAAATCAAGGGTCACTTTACTGGAATGTGTCTGCAAAACCCGCAGGAGGACATGTTCTCCCCAGACAGACCCTGCTCCCTTCCCCAGAGTCCCATGCTGTGCATATGTGTTCACACACACACACACACACACACACACACACACACACATATCCACACTCATACTTACCCAGTCATGCACGCACACTCACCCCAACCACACTCACACCCCACCCCCACATGCACACCCACCTGCATGCACAAGCTCACCCACGCACACACATGCCCACATGCACCTATGTCACGTACCCTTACCCTCATTCTCTGCCTTGCCAAAGAAGTGCGACACTGATTCCCTGTCCCAACACCTAGCCTAGCCTGGACACCCCAACTGCCAGAGAGCCTCCTTCTCACAGCCCTGCGGCACAGTATGGTTCAAAGGGCTTCTGGGGTATCACACACATGGCGTGGCTGTTAGGGCTGGGCTTGGCACCTTGCGGTCATCCGGTTCAGAGTCCTGCGGGCAAGGAATGGGCACTAGGGCTGTAATTTAGCCGCAATGATCAACACCCAGTTTTTCCTGTAAAAGTCACAGCTTTGTACCTGGAAGACAAATGCTTGGAGATTTGAAGACAGACAATTCAGGAATACGCTGAGATCTGCTGATGTTCCCAGCAAAGAAATTAAACAGCTTAAACCTACAAAAACAAACAAACACGAACATGGAGAGGATCAGAGGACCGCAGACCTCCTTCCCATGTGGGTGTTGGTCTCCTAGGTAACCAAGGAAACAACATCAACGCAAAGGGATTCCCCAAGGCCCCAGCTCATCCCCAGCACAAAGGATTTGTCACCTCTGCACCGGGCAGGTTCAGTCCCAGGTCTGAGCCCTGCCACCTGGGGAGACGGAGAACAAGGCTTTGGGACAACAACCCCGCCTTGTAACCACACAGCTGTCTCCGGATGAGCTCACTGCACAGGCAGACATGACTTCACCTGTCCTGGACGTTTTCACAGAAGGGCTTAGCTACTAATGCCATTTCAGCCCCAGGGACATCAAAGCCGGAGAGTGCCTTGCTCGGGGCCAGGTGCTGCATCGGGCACAAGTGTATGACGCCAGGTCTGGGTTATGGGCCTGCACTGGGGGCCTTGAGGGGAGAAGAAGCGGCTCTTACCTTCCCACCTTTCTGAGCCCTGCTGCCCAGGGAGCAGAGTTTAGAGAACTGAAGAGGAGGTGGCGACCCTGGCTGAGGCTGGGTTGAGTGTCACCCGGCCTCAGAGCCCACACCCGCTGGGCACCTGCAGCAGCTGTCGGGGTGCTGCCCTCCCGCCGAGCTCCGCAGCCTCTCAAGGAGCGCAGGAGCCCTGGGCAGCCGGCAGGCAGTGTGGTGGGCAGCTGGGGCCCTGTGCTGGGACACAGCAGCCACCTGGGGCCTCCGGGGAGCCGATGCCTGGGCAGGGCACCTTTGGGGGTCCCACTAATCAGCGGGCTGTGGGGAGCTCCGAAGCTTGCGAGGGTCTGTGCTGACCTTCATGCTGCCGGGCTGGAGGACCAGGAATGGTTGAGGGGGAATTTGGACTGGGGAGAGCCAAGGCAGGGACCAGGGACAGGATGGTGGCAGAAGCACTTACTAACACGTATGGATGCATTTCAGTATTGCAAAACAGGCTGGCCTGGAACTCACTGTATAGTCCAGGCTGGCCTCCAACTCACAGCGATGCTCCCGCCTCGGCCTCCTGAGCACTGGGATTACAGGTGTGCGCCACCACACCAGGCTCAGTATTTAAAAAGTGGTACAACCTTACCAAGGTCAGCCCTATGTCAAGGTCAAAGAAGAGGATGGGATAATCTATGGGTGGTTCTTTTATGTGTTGCTGGACCCATGTATTCGTCTAGCTAACAAATTCCGAGGTGTGCTGTGTGCCAACACCATGTTGGGTGCCCGAGGGGAACGACCATTCTGGGTGCCCAAGGGGAACAGATCAGGCGACACCCTGAAGGAGCTCACGGCGACTAGGCCAGCAGTGCTGTGCTCTGGTGAGAGGTCTGGGAGGGGGGCTTTGACCTCCGAAGGAAAACCCACTGGATCTCACTGGGCCAACAGGAGCCGGTGCCCACAGCGCCCCCTGGTGCCCGTGGTCTGTGGCTGGGGGAGTGGCCCTAACTCTTTCTCTAAATAACCAAGGCTCTTTTCTCTGCAGATGCCCCCTGCTCCGGACCGCCAAGTGGCCCCGCACACCAGCCCCAGGCCAGGCTCTTCACAGAAGGAAGGTTTCTTCTTCCAAAATTAATTCAATTTATCAGATAGCAAATGGCAAGAGCATCGCTGCGTTTCATTATCACCTGTCTGCAGAGTAGCACAAGGCGATAAAGAGCATGCTGCTAAACTGCACGCTGTTAAAACTAACTCTCGATGCTGCTACAAGGGTGGCACTGCAGCCCGGCCAGGCACAGAGCCAGGATCCCATTGCTACTCCACGGAAGAGACACTTGAACCTGCGCTTTTACAAGGGGGACAGAGAGAAGGGAGACACCCCGGAAAGAAGCACTGCTGAGGGAGGCCCTGAGCACGCAGTAATAGCAGATGCCACTGGGTCATTCACCCAGCAAACCCGTAGCAGCAAGATGCCCCGTCTGATCCTGGAAGCCAGGGCCACAGGATGTTCCCTGGGACTCCGTCACCCTACAGGAAGTCCTGTGAGAGCTCACGCTTAGCACAGCTGAGATGAAATGAGAAATCGGCCGCGATGCCCAAGCTAGTGCCGAGTAGACACCCAAGCCCCGACAAGGAAAGTGCAGGAGGAAGGTTACATTTCATCTCCGGGTGGCTCTCCGCCTCTTCCGCGTGGCTCAGGTCACTTTCCATGGGCTCCGGAGAGACGTCCAGGGTGCCCCGGCTGACGATGGCTTGGAGATCTGACTTCAGGAGCCTGACCTTCCTGCTGTTTCTCAGCACCGTCCTCATGGTCTACAGGGAGGGAATCACGATGATTACTCAGACTGTGGCATTTGCTGTTGCCCCTCCTGCCCCTCCGCATTACCTAACGTGAGCGTTCCCCTCCAGCCGGGCCTTGCTGCCTGGCGGTGTAATCAGGCTGGGGGTATCGAGGCTTTCCCTCCCTTGCTTATTTGCTGCCCACCACTCCCCTAGCCCGGGCTCTCTCGAGGGGATAGTGAGGTGACCGGCTGCCCACAAGGAAAGTGTGGGACAGCTCCTTAGATTTCAGAGCAGATTCGTGAGTGGCCGTGCCCGGCACCGGCATCACAGAGCTGTCCTTGGGGATCCATGGCGGACCACGGCCTGCACCCACGGAGAGCCGTGGGTGGCTGGGGACCTTGTGTAAACGGCGTGGCATCCTCTGGCATGCTGTGCATCCGTCTAGAGGGCTCGGGGCTAGTGCGATGGAAACACGGCCAGTGTGGTCACACAGGAAGAGTCTGTGTGACTTCAGTGCAGGTGAACATCGCCGGCCTTGGTTCTTTCCAGCCGAGGTTGGCTGCAGATGCACACGTGGCCGTGCAGTCTTCTCTCTGCCCCCCTTGGCCCTGCCTGAGCCCTGGAGCAGCACAGTCAGCCCGGCATGAGGTCAGAGCTCAGGAATCTGGAGGCTGGACACACTAAGTGCTCAGAGCCCACAAGGGTGTGTGTGTGTGTGTGTGTGTGTGTGTTTGTGTGTGTCTGTCCTAGCATCTGGTGCGATGCCTTCTCATCTCTGACACTGGCTAGCCAGGTCTCCTGCTTCTTCCCCTGCACAGAGACTGCCCAGGTGCCGTGTGGGGAAGGGGGTGGGTGTATCAAGGGGCATCACAGGGCCCTATGTCTCCTGGCCCGTGGCCAGCCAGGCCCCCAGTGGCCTCCGCCCTGTTGATGGTCAGAAACCACCTGCTCTTGGAGACACTTGCTGCTTCCGCTCTGAACTTGAGCCCTCTGCTCTGCCCTGCCATGCGGAGCTGTGACCTACCTTCGCCATGTTGGAAAGGTACGTCTTCCTCCTGAGCCTCTTGACGAACATGGTGACCTCTGTGGAGGACAAGCACGGGGCCATTACTGGTGCTTGGTCCCCAGGTGCCTGCCATGGGGGAGGAGGAGGTGCACAGGCTGAGCAGGGACGCAGGTGCCCAAGTGCGTCCCCACCTCTCCCAGTGCCCGGGACTGAAATGTCCCCGTGTACTGAAAAATGGTGTCATCTCAGGATCTGACGAGGCTGCTGGGGTCTGTTTGCACCCTTGTTGCTCAGAGGGAGAGAGAAATAAACACAGGGGGCGGGGCTTGCCTTGGAGTGGGTGCTGGGGTGGCCTCTGTCCCTCCACAGGCCCCTCCCCAGCAAGCGCAGCCTCTGTCTTTCCGCAGCCCCCCACTGTCTTCTCCCCTCCCCTCCCTCGCTCCGCCTGGCTGTGCCCCAAGTCTCCAAGTGGCGGAGACTGGGCTCAGGGTGTCCACTGAGTGGTGGGGAAAACAAATGCCTGCCCCTCTCCCGTAAGGCCCCTTCCTGTGCCACCCGGGAGCGAACAGCCGAGGAAGCTGAGCTTGGGGTGCCAGAGAGCTGCTGGGCAGGCGTGGGGATCGGGGGCACGGGAGGCTGCGGGCAAAGGCGGGGCCTCATGAGGGCGAGGGTGGGTGCTGTCAGGACTGTCAGATGCGGCGCTTAAAGAGCACAGAGCCGAAGAGAGGCCAGGCTGGGCCAGCGGCCGTGGCTCGGGCTCTGACGGGAGGCCCACAGGGCCCAGGCAGTGCAGGACGGCAGCACCCTTATCCCCAATGTGTGGCCCACAGGTGTTTTGGATTTCTGATTCTTTGGGGTTGTGGGATATTTGCAAAGACAGGATGAGCTACCTTGGGGTCGGGACCCAAGTCTGAACATGAAGTTCGTTACGTTTCATAAACACCACACACATGGCCTGAAGGGCATCTTGCAGAACACAGGTGGCGCCCTGTGTCTGGACTGTGACAGTGAGTCACTGGAGGTCCGGTGTGCCACCTCCTGCTGTGGCATTGAGCTGGCACTTGGGGAGCGTCGGATTGCGGGGTATTTCAGATTTGGGGTTTTCTGACTAGGGGTGTTCAACCTGTACCCAGAGACGACAATCCAGGGTCAGCCAGAGTGGGGAGAGGGTTCCTGGAGGTGAGAGGAAGCCAAGGCCATGGAGTGGTTGCTAGGGAGGCAGTGACACTTCACACAGAGCAGCGGGGGGCCGGGAGGGTGCTGGAGCCAGAGCCCCCGGGGCCAGACCGGCCTTGTGTGGGGCGAGATGGCACCGCAGCCCACAGTGGGAGCTTCAAATGGTGCATCTTACTGCGCTGTTGGTGGGGATGTAAACCAGCACACCCCCTGTGGAGATCAGCACGGAGATTCCTTAGAAAACTGATACTCGAAATTCCATTTGACCCAGCGATTCCCCCTTCTAGGTATCTTCCCCAAAGACTCAAAGACATCCTATCACAGTGATCCGTGCACACCCGTGAGTATGGCAGCACCATTCACAACAGCTAACGCTTGGGAGCAGCCTACACGTCCATCAACAGGTGAAAAGAAAAAGAAAACGGCGTATGTACACACCATGGAGCGCTACTCTGCCGTAAAGGAGGATGAACTCAAGGCAGTCGTAGGAAAATGGGTGCACCTGGAGACCATAACAGTTAGTAAAATAACTCAGACACATAAGCTGAAATATCACAGGGTTTCTTCTTTGTGAGAAATCCAAAGGGTAGGTAATTTAAAGAGCAAAATAAAAGATAGTAGAAAACAGGGAGATAGATCTTTTGTAAATGGGAACAGAGCCAAGAGATGGGGGGGGAGGAGGTAAAGAGATGTGTTATGTACACGTGCTGTGCACCAACCCCCAACAATGAAAGCAATCTCTGTATACTTACAAAATAAGAAATAACAGAATTTATGTTGTGGGTGGTGGGACTTACCTTTGAGTTTGGAGATCTGTAAGAGGGACGGGAAACCTTCCAAAGCATTCAGAAGCCACCGCTTGAACTTCTTGCTGAATAACCGGACAGATTTCAGGTACTGGATAGAGACGTCATCCAGAAAGTCATGCAGGAGAAGGTCCTCCAGTCCCTGCGAGGGGAGGATCAGGACGCCGTGGCTCAGCGGCTGCTACAGGGGCTGCTACCCCCCAGTGCCAAAGCTCTTGAGGGCCAGAGGGATGGGGCTTGTCCCCAAAGCTGAGGGAGCTTACAAATAATGATGTCTGATTTTTCCGTGCTAGGGATTGGGCCCATATGCAAGCAGCCGCTCTACCAAGGAGCTGTACAGCACCAGCCCCCTGACTCAAAAAAACTTAAAAATACGCTGCCAACCCTAGGTGGGTCACATCAACCAGACTCAAGCATGGAAACCAGTCTCCAGTTTTGCACTTATGTGTTAAAAATTGAGAAGCACGAGAACCGTTTCCTAAAAAAATAACAAAAGTTAAGGTTTGTGACTCCCAGAAGGAGCTCGCACTTTTAGGCCAAAATGATAACTAACTCTCAGACTTGCGGCCGCCACTTTTGAGCACTGCTTCAAACAAAGCCAGTCAGACTCCTGGCTGTGACCCATACACCAAAGCAATTTTCCTGGTGGCTTATTTTTAAATGTCTTCTTTGGTGAAAATGTCCAGGGAAAGGACTTTGCTCAATTCAGGGGTCACTGGCATTGGAAGCACAGGTCTCTGTGTGTGTGGCTTTTTCTTTATGTGAGGAAATTAAAACAAGAAAGCTCAGTTTCAGACAGAGATCAAAGGCTCATGGTCCAGCACTCCAATAGCTACTCCTCGGAGCACCTGAAGCCCACGAACACCAGAGGCTGTGGGCTGGCGGGTTGCCATGCTAACTGGGCGTTTGCTGTGGATTTCTGGGAAGGACCCAGAGCAGAGACGGCACCTTCCTACCTTGTACAGCTGCGCGTCATAGGACTTCAAGAGCTGGCACACGTCAGGAAGGGCCATGAACATCACTACGTCTTGCTGCAGAGATTTCCAGAAAGATGTAAGCAAGTCCTGCACCTGGTGGAAGGAACAGAACAGACCCCCGTGAGCTCATTTTGTGTCTCTGGAGAAAAATCCCTTGTGTAGACTTAATTAGCCTTGAAGGGTAATGGGATGAATTCATTCTGATGAATATAAAGCTTTGCCCATCTGCTTTCCCAGACTGTATTTTGGGAAGATTGTGTCCGGCAGAGTGCATCTGGCTGTTGGATGGGACCTGCAACATACCTGCCTGAGGATTTTCTTTAGTTAGAAAGTGACTCCTGACCACCAGGGGGCTCTAGTTGATTATGATAGGATGAGACTTGGGCCACAGAAGCAGGGTCAAGAGCTGAGGATGAATATTCATTGCCTAACTGACTGTCTGCCTTGACCATCACTGGACATGAAATTGGAAGTCTCCCAAGAATTGTGTAAGCAGAGGGAGTTGATGTAGTTCTACATAGAAGCCATCTCTAAATTCCTGTGGAGGAACAAAATGGCAGCTTTCTTCTTTTTCCGTTTCTTCCATGTTGCCTTTCCAGAATCTTTTCTTGAGCCAGATGGCCAATGTAGGTTCCCAGCTAGTAAAGACTCCTGACTTGGGGGATTTCCACAGGCTAGCTACACTGAGCCATCACAAGGACCCACAGTGATGCCAGGCAGGTGCCATTCCCATGTGTAGGCCATCAAGGAAGTTAGGGTTGGCCCTGGAGTTCACAGTGATAGGCCGCTGAGGTGGATCCTGTGGTCAAGGTTATCAGTTCTAGAGAAGATGTCACCAAAGAGACTTGAAATGAAGCACAGGGTACAGGAGCCTGCTCCTCTCAGGTGGGTAACTTTGGGGCCTGGCTCTGTGGGGTCAGCGGGTCTGAGCAGGGACAGCAACCTCACCACCCACTTCCGGTGTCAGCAGGTCCTACTGGCTACCTTAGAAACGTCTCTCTGATCTGCTCCCTTTCTCTTCTCTGTCAGTGCCCCAGACTGATGCTCATTCCTTCTTTCCTAGACTGTAGCAAAACCTCCTGACACGCTCAGACCCGTGTTACCACTCCCTACTGTCTGAATAAGTCAGAAGTCTTTGTGGGGTTTATGAAGCCCTGGCTAGCAGCAGCCTATCTGCCTTCTGCCTCTCCGGCTTCTCTCCCTTAGTGATAAATCGAGGCATACTCTGTCACACTGCGCCTGAGAACATCCTGTTGTCTTTGCCCTCATCACAGGCTCTACCTGGAAGCCCTTCTCCTACCCCATTTCCTGTCCATTGAACTTCTGCTTTTCCTGCTGGGCCTGCTCTGGGAGAACTCTCCAGCCTTCTCTGCTCCTTCCGAGGTGCCCAAGGTGTCCTAACCTACAGCTTGCTGTGGTTTGAATACGGTGTGGCCCCACTGAACTCATACAGAAGTTTAATCCCCACTGTGAAATAGTAAGAGACAGGAAATGTAGTCTGTCTGGGATGTCCAGAGGTGGGCCTGTGGGAAGTGCATGGATTAGACCCTAAATATCCCTACAAAGCTTCACGGGCATGGAAGGTGATTAGCTCACGGGGTGCCGTCGTCATCAGTTGCTTCACCCACTAACGAGTCCGCAGCTGAATGTGCTGTTAGAAGAAGGGGCCAGGTGAGAGGGGCCACTGGGCCGTGACCTGGGAAGGTATGTTCTTGTCCCTGGCTCTTCCCTTCTCTTTCTGTTTCCTGACTGCCCTGTATGCCCTTCTACCATGATATTCAAGCCATGGAGCGTGGACTGAAACCGCAGAAACCATGAGCTAGAAAAACTCTGTCTTTAAGTTATAGATGCTGGGTAATTTGTCCCAGCTATGGGAAGGTGACTAACCCAGGAAGGGACTAGGATTGGATAAAGTCACCAGGGTGATTGAATGCTGGTGGATGTATTAGAAACACACACACACACACACACACACACACACACACACACACACACACACGTTCCTTGCCCCTCCCTTGCTGTGTGATGCTCTGTGCCACCTTGGGTTGCCAGCAAGAACGTCCTTACTAAGGTCCCCAGACCTTGCACTTTCAGAACTGTGAGCCCAAATAAACCTTTTTCTTTATACAACTGCCTGCCTCTGGTATTTTGTTATAGTAACTGTTATAGTTTGGATTTGGACTGTCCTAAAGGCCCATGTGTTTGCAGGCATATCTGCTTCTTTTCTTTCTTTCCTTCTTTTCTTTCTTTCCCCTTTCTTCCTTTTCTTTCTTTCTTCTTTCTTTCTTTCTTTTCTTTCTTTTTCTTTCTTTCTTTCCTTCTCCTTCCTTCCTTCCTCTCCTCTCATGTTTAAAATGTTTTAATAAAGATATTTTCAAGTGAAGTTTTATTATTTATACACTTTAGCTATGTTACATATCATGTATGCGGCCCAAGACAACTCCTTGAAGGAAAAAGGCAGGCTGCAGATTGGACACAGCTGATGGCTTCGTCCCAGGCCTGTGGTGCTACTGGGAGGTGCTGGACCTTTTGAGAGGTACAGCCCAGTGGGAGGCCTGCCTGGCATTGGAGCTGTGCCCTCAAAGATCTCTCCTCATTTCTCTTAGCTTCCTAGCCACGAGGAGTGGTCCACCCAGGTCCTTCCTGCTGTGATGTGCAGTGTCTCCACTAAAGCGACAGGTCCACCCCAGCAGGGACTGAAACCTCCACAACCAGGTGGCAGAACAAGCCCTCCCTCACGTTAGGTTGATTGTCTTGGGTATTTTATTGTCACAATAGAAGCAGATGATAAAGAGCTATTCTAGAACTTCCCTCGTTGTCTCATTTACTGGCTGATCCTGCTCCTTTTATTACCAGAATGTACAACTCTCAAGCCTTGTGGAGAACACTTTCCTAGTGCCGGAAATTGTGCTGGTTTAAAAGTATGACTTCAGCAAGTATTTGACGAGGGGTGAAGAGGAAGGAAAGACTATCAGACCCGAGTGTGGACGGACGGTTGTAATACGATTGTGCTATCGCGTGAGATAGGGGCCAGGGTCCATCCTCCCTGCTCTCCTCTCACTAGAATGCTTTGCATGGAGCTGGCGATAAACGTGCTCAGTGCGGAGTGACTGTTCTCATCTAAAGTCGCAGTGCTTAGGATAATAAAGCACTGGAAAAATTTTCATTTGACAGTGCACTTGTTTCCCTAGATCTTCATTTTATGGCCAAAAGATTAATTTATGTTTTCCATAGCCATAAAACACCATAAAATACCTTTTAATTTGTTTGTTTTGGTTCTGGGAATTGAATCCAGGACCTTGCAAATGTCTTTTGCTTTTTTGTTTTGCTGTGTTTTTTGTCTTTTTGAGACAGGGTCTCGCTAGGCAGTTCAGGCTGGCCTTGAGCTCACTTTGTAGCCCAGGCTGGTCTCGAACTCACAACAATACTCCTGCCTCAGCCTCCTGAATGCTGGGATTACAGGTGTGTGCCACCATGCCTGGCAACCTCGCAAATTGTTAAGCACGTACTAAGTATATTCCAAGCACATGCTCTGTCATTGAGCCACATACTAATGTCCTATAGTCAGTTCTAAAATAAAATCTACAATTCCCACTTCAGGTCATTTGCTGGTTTTTCCATTAGTGTGTAACAGTTCTTCGGCATTATTGAAAAATCCAAGATGACTGTTACTACCAGCATTTTATTCAAACTCAGCTGGAATGAGGATCTAAAAGTAAAAAGAAGTTGAATTTGTACTTAAAGCACAAAAGTATCAGCTGTTCGCACCTGGAGAATCTGCCGAGGCTTGAACTGTGTGTCAGCACCACCTTCTAGAACTCCCCGGCGCCTTCCAAGCTCTTCGGTGCCATGTGCCCCCTAGCCATCCCGGAGGGCTCCCTTGGGGCCAAATGGTTCACAGCCAGGCACAGATAAGAACCTACTTTCTTTTAAAGATAAGAACCTACCCTCTCCAGTTCTTGGTTTCTCACATTTTGCAAAATGTCTTGACAGTGGCTGCAGTATTCGTCAGCGAGGAAGCCCATCTAGAAAGGAGAGACACAGTGACAGCAGCTTTTGGGAAGCTTCAGGAACAGGCTGGAGCTCGGAGACCCGGCTGCAGCTCCCAGTGACTGGCAGGGTGGTATCGGCCGCGGGTGTTTCTCTTCACCAAACCATGTGACCTTTACTGACTGAGAGTTCAGGCTGTTTGTGTTTTGATGTTTTAACTCATCTTTCTAGGTTTGTTTCAACACTACAAAGGCCACCGACCTGTTCCCTGAACCCCAACCCCCCAGGCACCGGCATTTCCTAGCGCGCATTTCTAGAAAATCTGTGCCTCTGTCCCCTGCTTTGTTACGGGGAGGCCCTCACTGCAGAAAGGGCCTTCATATGGGGTGAGGGGCAGCCTGAGTACGCTCCCCCACCAAGCCTGGCAGCAGGCTTGTCGGGCCTCACGGCTTTGTGAGGAGGTAAATGTGACCCCAGTGGCACAACCATGTCCTCAGGCAAAATAAGACATTTCCTGCCCTAAATATCACATGGTGTGAAAAGTCCGCTTTCCCTATGACACACACCTGCCTTTTTTGTGTGTGAGGTACTGAAGATTGAACCCAGGGCTTGCTGCAGACTAGGCCAGCACTCTGCCTCTTTAGTTTTATTCTGAGGCAGACTCTTGCTAAGGAGTTCTGGCTGGCCTCGAACTTATGATCCTTCTGCCTCAGCCTCCCCAGTAGCTGAGACTGCAGGTATGTACCACCATGCCCAGCTCAAACCTACCATCGTGTAGGAATATTTCTTTGCCAGTTCTTGCTCCCAAAGTGGACATCTTCTGATTTCAGATAAAGGAAGGCCAACCGGACATGTCTTTAGTAGTGAATTACTTTCACACTGGAAAAAATTTACGCAGTCAATCATTTCTTTAAAATAAAATGCATTTTCCGGCATATAAACCATGTCATAATCACATTGTTGTTCCAAGTAAATGTTTTTTAGGCACTCTCCCAGATATATTACTGAGTCCAGCAACTGTCTTCTACTTCATTCCCTAACTCTGACCACCAGGGAGGGGCCAGGATCTAAGGTAGGATCCCCACGGGTTTCTCTTAGGGTGCTGTCCTGGGGTCATTATGAATAGCCACGTCCAATACAAATACTATCTATGAATAATTTAATGTCACAAACACATTCTTACAACCTTTGTATATGCAACGGTTGCTTCTGGAAGTGAAACTGAGTCCTGTCTGGATCCTCAGGCCTGGTTCATAAAACGTGGTCCGTTTTATCCAAAACCCCGGGGTAGGGCCAGCAAGAGAAATGTGAGGCACAGACTGCTGTGAAATAAGAAATTACAGACTGCCAAGCAACAGGAAAGGTGAGAGGCCAAAGGGGACACTCCCTGTTCCTCCCCGGGTCACTGCTGGCCCCTCTGAGCAAGGGCACTCGTGACTGGCCCCATGTGAAGGGTTTTAATTTTATTTGAAATGATTTCCTCAGGATTCTCTTGGGCTTCTTTTTTTGTTTGTTTTTGAGACAGCGTTTTGCTATGTAGTATAGGCTGGGCTTGAACTCACTATATAGCCCAGGTCAGCCCTGGAACTTGCTGTGATCCTCCTGCCTCAGCCTCCAAAGTGCTGGGATTACAGGCACATGCCATCTGGCTTTCTGAATAACGTCCCTAAGAAGACAAAAGGATGAAATAATCCCTACAAATTGGACTTTGAACTTCACTACCCGCCATGGGGACTGTGACTGTCATTCTCTTTCCAGTGCAAAGGTCTCCCCTGTGACTCCACAGTGCCCAGGTCCTCCTCACATTATCGGCTCTCACAGGCCCACAACTGAAGCTGCAGAGAATCACTGCAGAACCTTGTGTGGTTCCCGTCCATAAGATGCCCCTGAGGGAAGAGAGTTCTCAGCCACTGCCCACAGATGCCACACAAGCCAAGGATGAGGCCCTGCTGGGTTTTTCTTCCTCCACGGGCCCCTTGTTCCTGACCAGCATCACACGAGGGCAGGAGGGGGCCTTGTGATCCTGCTCGACAGTCTTATCTCTGGATTCTTTCATGGTCCTGGCCCCACTGAGAATCTGGGCCAGCAATTAACCCTCTCCCTGGAAAAATGTGCTTGTAAGACTCTGAAGATGCCAGGTGGGAACATTCTGGAGTGGAGTAGGGCGGTCAATGTCTGCAGACACAGCTCCAGCAGGAGGATGGAGAGGTGACAGTTCTAGGGTCTTGTCTGTGGACGCCGCCTGGGCCACAGTCCCAGCGCGTTCAGAAGGCTGGCTCCACTCCACGCCTTTGATGGTGGGCACTTCTCAGGCGTCAGGTCGGTGGTGCTCAAGGTAATCGCCGGGAAGGAGGACTTCTTCCTGGAGTTCAAGGATGGCTTCTTCCTGGAGTTCACTGGCCTGGTCGCAGCACTTCCGATAAAGAAGGCCCCAGGAGCCCTCGATTCCAACTCTGGGCTGGCTTCATACACTGCAAACCCCACCGCACCCAAAGTGTGTAAACATCTGGCCCAGACATGACCTGGAATCCAGACCTCACCAGCTTCCCACCTGGGCCTGCTCAAGCAGGGAGCTACAGACGGTGCTCTGTCCTGGTTTATGGAGATCCCTCCCTTGCAACATGACAAGGACATCTGTGCTTCCCTCCTCAGAAGTCATCTGGCAGGGTAGGATGGGGACAGTCAAGAAACAAGCACAAGGATCATATAAAAGTGCATTAAGCAAAAATTCATAAAAGGCCAGTCCATGAGTTCCTGGAACCAATACCCTTGTGTCTCTTCTTCCACAGAAATTACTTACAGGCATAAGCTTTTCATTACATACCAAAAGGAACTGGCCTTTCAGAAACTATTCTATGTTAGTTTTAATTGTAACTTTAATTTTAATTTTTTGGTGCTGGGGATTGAACCCAGGCCTTGTACCCGCTAAGATGCACTCTATCCCTGAGCTACCTCAAGCCCTAGGAAAAAAAAATTAGATGCCACGAATTGAAATATTTTCTTCACAACACAATCAGAAATCTAAAGTAAAAGGTGGAGACTATCTGCTACAGTGTGAGTATATGCAGTCTTCATGGCCATGCATGTCACAGTTTGGATGTTAAGTGGCCCCCAGAGGCCTGTGTGTTAAATGTTGGGGCCCAACCTGAGGTGTTATTGGAGAGTGTGGAACTTTAAGAGGAGGGGCCTACTGGGAGGCTGTCTGGCCTTTGTGGGTGTGTCCACCAAGGGGATTGGTGGACCTGTCTTTTCCTCTACCTCTTTTTTACATCCCAGGCACAAGGAAAAGAGCTTTGCTCTACCACTCACTGCCAGCCACAAAGTGCAAGTCCAGGAACAATAGGCCATCGAGCATAGACTGAAACTTTCAAACAGTGAATCAGTGTAAATCTTTCCTCTTCCTTCTTCTTTTTTTTTTCCTTCTTTTTCTCCTTCTCCTTCTCTTTCTCTTCCTCCTCCTCTGCCTTCCTCTTCCTTTTCCTTTTCTTCTTATTCTATTTTTTGTTAGTGGGGTTTGAACCTAAGGATTTCTCACTGAGCTGCAGCTCAGTGAGAAACTACTACAGTAGTTTCATTAATTTTTTAAAAATTGAAATAGAGCCTCATAAGTTGCCTGGGCTGGGCTCAAACTTGCAAACCTCCTGCCTCAGTCTCTGAATGCTGGCATTACAGGAATGCACCACTACACCCAACAACCTTTCCTCTTTTAAAGTTGTCTCGGGTATTCTGTTATAATACTAGAAAGGTGACTAGTGCAATGCATTATATATCAGCCCCTAAGGATGCAATGGAGGGCACCATCTACCTCTCCTGGTTACTCCATCAATCCTCCTGGGTGCATTGGTGCTTCCTGCATTCTTGAACACACAGCTCCCAGAATTATCACCTCCAAAGCCAATGTGTTTTTTTTTGTTGTTGTTGTTTTTTTTTTGAGGTTAAGAGCAGAATATATTTGTTGAGAAAATAAAGCTTTTATTCAAGAGAAACAGAAGGGGTCCTGAGTGGGTTGTCAGTCAATGTCTCTTGTAATTCTCTTTTTCAATATACCTTAATGGGATCAAGACAGTCTCTTGAGTCACATCCAAATTCCTCCACCTGGCATCCACACCCCTCATCATCTGGACCTCTTACCTCCCTCCCACAAAGTCTGCTGCTTCTCAACATCCTCACATCCTCCTTTCTAGCTTACATGCAGCTAGAGAGCATGCTCCTTGAGGACAGGGACCACGCCTGTCCCCAAGCAGTGCTTGCTGCTCAGAGAACACCCAATAATCAAGGTCAAATGAGTGACTGACTGGTCAAATGAGTGACCACTCAGAAAAAGAACATCACAAGCAGAAAAACAGTTGCTTTTAACTAGTTACTGAACATCACTGTTCTACTATAGCAGCTTATTCAACACTCACAGTTCTTTCTTGTTGGACGATGTTATAATCAATAGATTTTTCAAAGGTGATATCGCCACTGTGAAAGAACAGAGAACAGAGAAGTAATTCTAGTAAGACACCAGTCTCTGGGCACAGAAATGAAATTTCTTCAGCAGTGAAGTTATTGGTGTGGGGGTATAAGTTTTATTGCAAAATTCTCCTCTACATTTCTAGCCACAAATGGAGAGATTGCATGTTTGGAGTTTTAGAAAATCCATTTCTGTAACTGGGACAACCCTGTATTTATTTTTAAAGGTTATTCCTTTTGGAAGCAAAGACATGATATCACTCTGAGTACAACTTGCTCCTGTGGGAAAAGAAAAATCATCAGGGAAACAAAACCTTGTTACTTTCTGATTTAAGCACTTTTTAAAATCATTGATCCAGAAGTGACAATATCCTCAGAGTCTGAGGTTATAGCTGAGCATCTTCTCGGAGGAAAGAGGCTGGTGATTAATGGTGGACCTGCAAGTGTCACTTCACCCGGCCTTGAGTTCATATATTATGTTGGAGACATCGGCACATAATAGGGAACACATTCAATCTTAACTGTGTGTGTGACACGATTTCCCTTTAATGCTGGGTATTTGAGAAACCAAGAGCCTGGGGACTCCCCCTTGCGCTCTGATGCTAGAGGTATGTGTGGGGGTCTCCTGCCCACTTTTCCCAGGGAGCCCTCGGGCTGTGGCTGAGCTGAGGCGGGTGTGACTCTGGCATCTCTGTCCATGCCAGGTGCACACAAGTCTTCACATTTGATGGTGTCAGAAAGGAGGAGGGTGGTGGCTGCCACTCGGCTTCCAGAAGCAGGCGCCATTGTCAATGGGAGGGCACAGGGGAATGCCAGCAGGGGACTGGGGGGAGAGTGGCTTTCTTCTCACACAGGAAGATCTGATAGTGCACCCAGCCCCTCAAAAGCCCCACAGCTCTCCTCTGAAGGTTTGTGTCCATCTATGCTCTGACCCAAGTCACGGAAAGCTGGGCAGAATGTTTGCTACCCACCTGATCAATGTTTTCACCCATCCCTTGACCTCCAAACAAGGCACACAGATTCAGAGCCTGGATACAACCCCACTAGGGAGACACTCTTCAGCTTCTCATAAGAGTTGTCATCAAAGGAGATTTGACTCAGATCCCTGAGACCTGGGAGGATGCACACGTATACTCTGCCTGAAGGATGATCGGCAGAGTGAGAAGGTAAAGCATTTGAGGAGGTTTCTTTGAGGCCTGGCCAGGCCTTCAGCTGCAGCAGTGGGTGGAATCAGAAGTCAGGGCACCTGCCTCGGCGGCAGTGGCCAAACTCCTGAGTCAGAAAGGCCAGGAGCTGCGGGAGACCTGGCACTTACTGCGCAATGAAAATGAAGATTTAAGAAATAACAAAGGTAGAGGTAGAGCACAAGATTATCTTACTTTTGGTTCTTCAGAAGAAACAGATGAAAATGCTTTGATTCTGGAGGTGGCCTCAGACATGCTTCTGCCAGCACTGGGAATTCAGAAGGCTGCAAACGTAGGAAATTTGAAGGAGCAGCTCACAGAGTACAAAGAGTGCCAAAGACAGCGAGGCAAGACTGCAGCCCGTCTAGCAGAGCAACAGTGGCAATATTAACCCAGCCTGCTGAGATGATCCGGTGATAAATCCTGAAGATCTGAGAGCTGATGTGAAGCGAGCCCGTGGAGCAGGGGTCAGCATGAAAATACCACGGACAGTGCTGTCAGATCATTCACCTTCCAACCGGAGAGAGCTCAACTTAAAAACAAGGAGGTGGTTGTGAGGAAGTTAGTGCAGAGCTGTACAGTGTGTCTAGAGGAAGAAACAAGTATAGGATACAGTGCTGGGAAGATTCAGGTTGGAACTCGAAGGAAGAGAAAAGAAGAACACAGAATGAGCGCAGACCTGGATCACCGCTCACAGAACAAAACCTCACAGCGCAACCCTGAAACTTTTATGCAAGGAGAGTGGTTACTGGATGAATTTAGAGTCATTGAAGGACTGGCCTGATTAGGAATCCTTAGTAGAAATTATTTCCAAAAAAGCTTAAGGTGATTCTGTATTAAAGCCTTTTATTAAAAAAAAAGATTTGAAGAGTCTCAGGAACTCTGATTGTCGTATGTTGTGGACTGAATTGTTGAGGACCAGTTTCATATATTGAAGCCCTAGTCTCTAAAGTGACTACATTTGGAGGTAAAATTTTTAAGAAGGTGTGAAAATCAAATGAGATAGTAAAATCAAATGAGCCCTAATCTTTCCCTCTCCCTCTCCCCCTCCCTCCCTCCCTTTCTCTCTCTCTCGCTCTCTCTCTGTCTCTCTCTCTCCCCGACAAAGGCCATGTAAGAGCCCCGAGAGAAGGGGCCAAGAACCAGGAAGAGAACCTGCACCTGTGGGCACCTTGACCTTGGCCTTCCATACCCACAGCCATGAGGGTGTAAATTCCTCTCTTTGGAACCCCTGGCCGTGGTTTTTTGCTATGAGAGCCCAACCTGACACATCATGCTTCAACAACATCTTGGGTGCGTGGGTGTGACAATGATGGAGTATTTCCAGGTAAAATTTACAAACAGCCCACCACCCCAGATTCTGGGACATTATATTAACAAAACAGCAAACAGTAAACAAACTGAAAACTAAGCCTAGGATGAAATAAGGAAGACGAAAATGTCAGAAATGAACATTCACTGAATAAAGGGCTAACAGAAAAGGAACTTAATTAGGAAAATGTGATCATTAGTCTTAGAGATGTCTTAAAATCATTTGTGAGGCTTTCTTCAACAAAATTAGAGGGAGGTTAATTTCTCTACAGTTCTAAAGTATGCCAACATGCTACTCCTGACATTTTTTTAATGGAAAACATATGTAAACCACAGTGTGAATACTTGTGACCATAGTATGTGTATACTCAGCTCTGTCCATCCGTCCATCCGTCCATCCACCCATCCACCCATCCACCCATCCATCCAGTCATCCATCCATCCATCCATCCACCCACCCACCCATCCATCATCCATCCAAATATTCATCTACCTATCCATCCATTCACTTATGCTTCTATATGTCTCTTATTCACTCATCAAGTATTTATTAGGTGTCTAGTACATGTCAGGCATTGTGCTACGCCTTCTTGGATATAGCCAGGATTAAAATAGACAAGGTCTACCATTTCTGAGGTTATAGTCTATTGGGAAAGAAAAACACAAAGGCAAAAATGTTGAGGGAGGCATATGGCTTTTGAGGCATAAGGTGTGAGGGTCCCTTCCTAATCCTTTGTTAACCCAGTAGCCAGAATGCATATCATCTCAGGAGTGCTTCCTCTGCAATTAATTACCCCACTGTGGTTGGTACTCATCACAGGCAAATGCTTGGAAAGCACTTACTAAACCCTTTCGATGGTGGTGGTAATTTTCCCGGGGCATGGTCTGCACACTGAGAAGCAGCAATGCGGAAGCAAGAAGGCCTGCTTCAGACTTAAAGAAGCGACGAGGGGAATTTCCAAACTGTCACTCACAACCCTCTCCCATGGGACTCGCATAGCTTCGGAGTAACGGGTAATGTTCATTCTGACTGAGTAATGCTCTCAAGCATTTAGACTTTTTAAATGCAACCCCCAGGTTTCTGCCATGTGGCCACTGCTGCATATGGGTCTAATTCAAGTTTCACTGAAAGAGGGTGGCACTGGCTGTCTCATCTTTCTGAGGAAGGCTGAGAAGCTGCTGACATTTAGGAGCCTCAGCATAGCAGAAGTCCTCACTAGGGAGCTGTGTTACTTTTGAATATTAATTGGGGGATTTTATGCATCGAAACAACAATAGTGGGAAAGAGAAAATATGTCACCCCGTGGAGAAATGCGATCATCATAACAGAGTCCTCTTCCCCACCTGGCCAGACAAAGATGGGAACGGGAGGCTTTCCCACCCACGCTGGGAAACCCTGATTCAAGGGCATGGCTTACCACGTGGGGCAACAAGAGGCTTAGTAAGACCATATGTAGTTACTTTTCAGAGTCAGCCAGTTTCAGAGGATTGCGCAAGCAGAGTCTCAAAACTGTGCAGGAGTTGGACTTGGGCAGGCAGCCACGATACCTCTGAGCCACAAGGCAGGTGAACAGAGAAACATCGACGTGCTCAGCCTTGTAGCAGAGGGGGACGGGAGGTGGCCCTGGCCAGTCACAGAGGCCAGAGGACCTAGAGGACTGGGCCGTGTGCACAATGCAGTCACGGCTGTCCTCGAATCTGGCAGGCAAGACTGGGCTGGGCCAGGAAACAAGGTTGTGGTAGACCAGAACTCAGACTTCCCTGCACTGGGGTCGACCACCCAGGAGGTGGTGTGCTGGCAAGGGGGCCCAGATGGGCCAGGAGAGGAGCTTCCAAAGTGCCAGTCAGGCGGCCACACGTTTTTAGGCTCATGGCCCCCTGTGTCATCTCCTCCGTGTGGTTCTGAGTCAGACCTTTGGGACATTTATCCGGCTGTGATTGAAAGCACCGTCATTGCTAGACTACGGCTCCAGTGAAACCACACAAACTCCCAGAACTGGCCTGGCCAGGAAGAAGGGCACCCAGCAGGGGGTGGTGGCAGTGGTGGTGCAGGGGCAGGGGGTCCTGCTGTCTTGATGCTGCTCTGGCCTTGAATTATAATGCAGAGAAAAAGGCTGAAGCTGGTGGCACCGGAGTGACCCTGAGCTAGGCGGTTCCATGAGGTCATCTGCGGTCCTAGGGGTTGCTCCTTCAGCAGCTGCACCCTAAAGTAGGATGTGAGGACTAAGAGCCCCAGAGGGAGCCTGGTGTGGGTCTGCACCCTTATAATCCCAGCACTCAGGAGGCTGAGGCAGGAGGATTGCCATGAGTTGGAGACCAACCCAGGCTACTTAGTTCTAGGCAGGGCTGAACTACCAAGTGAACACTGGGGAGACGATCAGGTCAGCTGGTGACAGAGGGAGGAGAGAGGAGACAGAACCAAGCAGGGACTGTGCAGGCTGAGAATCCCTCCACCGAGGCGGAACTAGAGTCCTGGTCTAGGGGGCAGCTAGCCAGGAAGCTTGGCTTTGGGGG